GGGCAGGTCGGGGGGAACCCTCAGCCCTGGGAAGGAATCGGCGTCCTGGGGCATGCCCAGGTCACACCTGAGCACAAGAAAAAGCAAAGCACAGTCCTCTCCCTTCAGAGCAGGACTCAAACCGAACTGATGCTCAGCCTGCCCCCTAATCATAGAATCATAGAATAAACCAGGTTGGAAGAGACCTCAAAGATCATCAGGTCCAACCCTACCGTCAAAGACATAAAACATAAAATAGTAGAATATAATTCCTTCTTTTTAATCACATGTGAAATATGAAAGCATTATTCCATTGCAAATTCCTTTTCAGTCCCTTCTCAAATCACGACTCAGTGTGCTTAACAATGAGCCTAATTAGAGGTGAGATCTTAAATCACGACACAGCTCCAATGCACCTTGAATGTTTTAGTTTCCAAGAGGCAGTGAACATTTTGGGGGCTTAATATATACAGGAAAAGAAATACTTCTCTGGCTTCAAGCTTCAGCAAACTAGCACACAGCTTTCTTGGGCTAGAAATTCTCATAACTACTCTTTTTCACTGCTAACTTCCCAGGGAAGGTGTCACATATTCATTTATCAGTAGAAAGTAACTTGTAAAAATCAGCATTACAAGAAAAGATAATTTGTAAAGGCAGGTTTGGTCTGGTTTAATTTTCCTATAGGGAAAAATAGAAAATGAAAAGAAAAAATCCAAATGGAGAAAAGGTATGAACAGGACCATGAATCAGCTAGAAAATCATATCAGTTGTCACCTAGACAGGTTTGTTTTACAGCAAAATTTGTTCCCCTTACATACAGGTTCCTCTGGTAAAAAAAGAAAAGCAGCAATTGCTAAACTTAATGTTCTTACTTGAAATAAATAAATAATTTTTAAAAAGACATCAAATGAAGACAAATGCTGTTGTGGAAGACTAAATAAACCGTGATAAAACTTTCCATCAGGCAGCTTCAATTTATGAATTATCCTTTAGGATGCAAGCCCAGTGATGAATGACCAGCACTGGGGATTACTTCAGAAGATGATTATTTCTTACCCGACTTGTTCTTGCACTCGATGTCATAGCCAGTGATTGGGCTGTTCCCATCAAACCCCATCGTCCACCTGAGGGCAATGCTGCGTGCTCGAACCTCGCGGATTTCTATCTCGGGAGGGTCGGGAGGTTCTGGGCAAACACACACAGTTCCAGTCAGGACAAAGCCCGTGCTCTTACCAGCCTCACATAGACGAGTGTGGCACTGGCACATCTCACTGATGCTCAGCTCTGCTGGCCTTTCTCTGATCACCCATTAGCACCCTGATCCAGTTAATCACCTGCTGAAAGTACTTAACAGTCTCTTTTCAACGAGAAGGCACTGATGGAATCTTGAATATTGTTTTCTCTTAAACCTTTTTATAACATAGAGTTGCCTTTCCTTAAAAGCATTCCAGCTTGGAGGAATGTTTGCCTTGTACACCACATTTCACTGATATTTCTAGGGTTTGGACAAAAGGTGATGGTAGAAATATGAATATTACAATCAAAAGTGCTCAATTTAGTGGGGGGAGGGAATTAAGATTTCTATCTCTTTGAGCATGTTTAAAAGGCTTAATTTAATACTGGAAGAATTTGCTAACAGCACAAAACCACTCTAACCCCCCCTTCCTGTCTCTGGAGTTAAGGTTGTTAATAAACAGCCTTTAGACCCATTCTAACGCCCCTTTAAATTGTCCTGGCAGTTCAAATGAGCAGTGGTGTTATTGGGAACCTGTCCCCAAACTCCACCTGAATTTTTCAACTGTACTGCCCTAGGCATTCACTGGAATCTGCTGTTACTTGGAATCAAGAGTAGGGAGAAAGAATTTGGCATGTCCTAGGAACTGGTTGTGTGCATGCTCAAAGGCACACACAGGCCCAGGAACAAGCACCAGGAGGACATCAGCAGTGGCCAGTGGCTGAGTCCTGGCCCTGCTCAGCATCTCAAAAATTGTCACCTCAGCCTCTGCAGGACTTGCTGCTGTCTGCCCAAGTGAAACCCTGCACAAGGGGAGCCCCAGCCCCAAGCAACAGAAGTTCCTAAAGTTTACATTGTGCACACTGCTCACGATGTGTTTTGACTGATTAAACTTGAAATATTTTGTTTAAAGCTCCACGGTGGGTTTAAGATTTCTCTAGAGATGAAGTCAGATCCCTTTTGCTTTATTTCAGACTCAGCTTTTAAGTACATTTGTTCTCTAGAAACAAATGCAGCCCCCTCAAAAGAAACCCCCTCACATCCACACTCCCGACTGAAGACGATAGTTTTAAGGATCTTCAGCAGATTGTTAGTGAGTGTATTTAAGGAAAATTCTTTATCAATTTGCACAGATCTAGAAAGACTCGAGCTTATCCTTTATTTGATCTAATCTGTGACACTGGAAAATGAAAGACTGAGAATCTTAATGCAGCTCCTCATTTCTTTGACAATGAGGGATACATTTAATTAGGAATCAGAGCCTCCCTCCCGCAGCAGAGTTCTGAGGGTGGCACACACTTACTGCCCTACAATAGCGGTGGTTTTTTCCTTAGGTTGTCCTCTTCCTACCTTGCACAGTGAGCTGAATGATCCCACGATCCTCCCCGTAAGAATTGATGGCATGGCAGGAAAAGAAACCAGAATCTTCACGCACAGTTGGCAAAATCTATAGGTGGTTTAAAAAGAAGGGATTGATTGAACAGCAGGCAGAGAAAATAAACCAACAGCTTTTTCTGTGTGGGGCAAGAAAAATCGTACACACGGTTTTAGCTGACAGTAATAGATATTGTAGGTTGCACACATCCATATGCATAGCAAAGCATCCAAAATCCTGAGACTTATCATGCCCAGCAACACCTGGGCTGAGGAAACAAGCTATCAGCTCTGCATGTGCAGTCAGGAGCTGGAGCACCACCTATTCCTGTAGCTGCTCCTTAGGAGTCTTGTTTCCAGTTACTCACAAGTTTGCCAAGTATTTAACTGTTGGCTGAAATTTTCCAGACAAAATGTTGCCTGCTGCTGCCTCCAAATTTTTCCAGTTATTTCTGAAAATGACTCAAGTGGCTGAAGTCTGTGTGGAGGAAATAAAGGTTCCAACACTGGTGGTGAGCCCTGTAGCATTCAGCGTGGTGCCTTGTAATAAAGTTTTGTGTGGTTTTTCAATTTGTCATTTAATAGCATGGAAATTTATACCTAATATTTACCTACATTACCATAATGATATTTTTCTACAGGACCACTGCTTCATTCAACATACAATAGGGAAAGGATGGGTTTTAATGAGCAGATATTTGAAATACCATTTTCTTCCCATTGTTCAGTGTGCTGCTTCACACTTTATTTACTGCACACAGTTCAAACAATGCCCTGAAGACAGACATTCATTTTCTCACAGCCTTTTCTATGGATTCACCTATGGAACAACCATTTCAGAAACATGGGTGAATTTATTTTCATAGACCCTGACTTCATGAAGGGCATTGCCACCATTTCTTACAGGGAATTAAGGAACTAGATATATGACAACATTTGTGGCTGCTTGACAAGTTGCCAGATATTAGCTCTTTACTCCTCAGCAAAACCAACATAATATGAGCACAACTCTCAGTCATCACTGGTTAAGACAAATGGATTAATTTCCCACTCACTAGAAGGAAATTGGAGAGTTATCATCTGAGAGGTGATAACTTGTCAAGCTGTGTTAAGCTGCACATGGGGCTGAGCTTTAAGATAGGGAAACAAAAATTTCCAGAGCCCAATTTGATGCATCTAAGACCTTTTTCCCCCCCTCAGAGTCCTTAACAATAAATAACATTTCATTTGTTCATAACAGCTTCCACTGAGTAAAGCTGCAGCTATGAGGGCGTAGTACTTCAGCAAAACAGACCCCAAGGGCTTAAGGCAAGTACCTAGAAAACAAAGAACAGGCAATTATTGGCCACTTGTGAAAAGTTTGGTTTCAATGATCAGCCTTGCATCACACAGAGTCTTTCATTACTCAACCCTAATTCAACTGCAGAGAAAATCCAAGTCATGCCTCACTGAGGCAGAGGTCCTGCAGGAAAAAACAAAAGCTGAATATAAAACTAAAGATCACATCATCATGCACACGTGCAAAAACGCTGAGTTGAAAGTTTCAGAGACAACCTTAACCCTGATGTTTTCTACATTTGGGGTTTTTTATATCTCTAAGTGAAAGGTTTTGTATGTAACACATATATGGATGTAGGACACCACTACTGCTTCAGAAGACAATTCTCTAAGCAGGTCTCCAGCCTTCCAAATAAAATATTGTTGTGCACCCAGGTATTATCATATTAAAGTCAATAAGAAGAATGAGGGCAAAGAGGCCTAGGAGTCTATCCTATAAGTATTATTTGTGGCACAAAAATATTAATATGAACGAAGTCACACATAAAATCTATTCTTCCTCATAGAAATCAATGACAGAGCTCCCTCACAGAAGGCAAACCCAGAATTTTACTGGATATAACCCCACACAATTTTTGGCTGGTAAAGAAAGAGATCTTCCCTAAGAGTTACACCAGAATTTAAACAATCACCAGAGAGATGGAAAATTAGTCCTTGAGCCTGGTAAATAAATTTCTTAAACGTGACTGATAAAGGATAATCAAGAATTTTTGACTGAGAATCTATATGATTTTGTTGTAAAATTGCTTTATATTTCATGAAGGCACAAGTAAAATACAACTTTGAATCCAATGACTAACCTGGCTATATAAAGTGACCTCACAAGGCCCACAGAGTGAAAAGGAGGCAGAAAAGTACTTTTAAAAGATAGCATTTTTACCTCAAAACAGCTTAATGATGTGAGGGTAGGCCTGACACACCTCAGAACTGGGGGGCAGGTAGTCACTTGGCTCTTAGCAGCAGTGCTGCCCTGGGAAGGGCAGGCTAAGGCATGAGCTATGCAGCTCCTGAGACAGGAAGGATGGAGGAGGCTGTGAGCCTGGATCACTTCCTTGATGCCTCCGGAGCATGGGAAGACGGAGATAAATTTTGAGTGAGAGGTTTCCTTTGTCTCCTTTTGCTGCCCCATCTCCAGGGCTGTGCCGTGTGAGGATTGAGTGATGGGGCTGTGATGCTGTTGGGCAGAGGTAGTTGTGTATCTCTATCAAAACCGAGTCCAGCACACTCTCACACATCTAGATGATTTGTGGGTCAGTTTGTTTTCTTACCTGCAGAGTAGAGATCACTTCATCTCCAACTTCCTTGGTGGAAACAAGGTAACGAGACATTTCAGGGTTGATGATTCTGTCTTCCTTTTCCCAGCGGACTATGATGGGTTTCTCTCCATGTGCTGTGCAGCTCATCTCCTTCTTTTGCCCTTGTGTTGCCAAGGTGGTATTTGGGTAGGAAGTTATCATAGCTGGAACTGGAAACAGACAAAACAAAAGAAGATTTTATTCAGTGAGCTGACCAGTCTGATGATAACAGGGTTGGCCCTTCTGTGTCTCACCCACCTTGTTCATATTCAACCAGATGGGCAAAAATGCGAAGAAGCATTTTACTTTCATTCCTGTGTAAGAGAATTCTCTTAAGATTGAAGATGGGCCTCAAAGGGAACTTAGCAGAGAGGACCTAGAACTGAACAATGTGGCTGTAGAGACAAGATGTGAATCCAAATGAATTTGTTTTGCTGCTCACAGGACAATTTGTAACATAATTCAATATTCAATATTCACAGTACATAAAGGTACTGTAAGTAATAAGCATTCAGCTATGGGGCCAATAAAGAACTGATAAAAATGTCTTATTCCTTCTGATGAGCTGCTGCTTTATTTGCTGACAGTTATATGCTCTACCAGTGTGCATGACAGTAATGATCTATCAAAATGAGGGCTCAATTAAACCAGAAGCTGTACAAAATTAAAAGAAAGGCTCTGCACCGAAGAGCTTACAGTCCACGTATGTGTTGAGTGCGTAGCTAAACTGTAGTGAACTGAAAGTATAATTAAACTGACAATAAACCTAGCTAGATTCAAGTTTTTATTGTATTCAGAAGGTATTTGCAGAACAGTTTGGACATATCTGTCAACTCCATTAAGGATTCTTTAAAAGAAGGACTTACAAAATTTTAATGTGGAAAAAAGTACTCTCTTGTTAGCAAGGATAGCTTTAAATACCAAGTATTTTCACATTTTGGAATTAAAATTTCCTGAAAATAGGAAGAAACAAATCCTCAGAGTGTTTTACTGCAACCCCCTCTAAACATGGCATCTTTGAAACAGGTCAGTCTCTTTGGTGCCCTTGGTAGCTTGTCCTTTCCTATGTGGTTTGCCCACCAATGAAGAGCATCTGGGCTTCTGTGCCTAGGAAGAATCAAAGCTCATGAATCTGTCTTTCAGTTCAGGAAAGCCCTGCCCAGCACACAGAACTGCTCTCTTCTCAGTGATTCTGTCCACTCCTTTAAGGCACATGAGATGTCAGCAGAGCCCATTTCTAACCTCCTGCACTCCAGGGCTGCTTCCTGCAATAGCCTCACTCCCCCTGTTTTTATGCATGAACACTGCTCTTCTGATCAGAACAACTCACTCATTCCATCTGAACTTCTCCAGGCCTTTATTTTAATCAGATGACATTCACAGAGGACCTGATTTGAGGCCTTCCCAGTTTTTCCTCCTGCATAGATTGCATCTGCTGCTGCACAGCAGAGTAAAAATCCTTATTTAAATGAATTACTCTAATTGCTATGCTGTAATGTTAATTCTTGGTGGCATGACCTTTTCACATGCCAGAGCTGTTAATGCTTGGGTATGACAATATGTCAGGATGCAGCCCTTTCTGTTCAAAGGCTTCCTGAACCAAAACAAACTGATTTGAAGATTAACAGGGCCGTGGAGCTGTGGGTTTGAGTTACGGAAGGGATCTAATTGCAGGAAGAACTCTTAGAAAGGTCTTGTGTGAGACATGAGGCTCCTCAGGCACTGCTATGCACTACTGGTGAAGTTTGTCTTCTCTAACTGTTTGGATATTAGGTAACCATTAGCTTTGTCCAAGAGAAGCATTCAAAGAGAAGAAATGATGAATAATCAGAAAACTAGGTCAAGTCTTATTCCATCTTCCAGTGAATGATAAAGCTTCAGTTTGATCTGGCATCTGTCCATGCACCAGGACCCACAAGGAGGTTTCTTTCAGAAAGACACTTTTTTTTTGTGGCCATCTGCTTGTTGCTTCCAAAAACAGAAGCCAGTGGACCGAGGTTACAGCTGCAGGGCTGTTGGCCCTATATGTGCAGGTAGTTGCACTTACAGAATCACAGAATCAGTAAGGCTGAAAAAATCCTCCAAGATCATTGAGTCCAACCTTTGATCAATCACCAACTTGTCAACCAGACCACGGCTCTAAGTGCCATGGCAAGTTTTTTCTTGAATACTTCCAGGGATGGTGACTCCACCACCTCCTTGGGCAGTCCACTGCAATACTTGATCACCTGAATTCTTCCTGAATTCCCTCCTGAAATAGACCCATATACCCTTTTACACATTTTGTTCATCAATGAGACCCAACTCAAACCTGTGGCAAGCTATTAATGAGTCCACAGTACCATCTTTAGCTTCTGCCACCACCTTTCTTCCTTCCTTCCTTCCATAATCTCCCAAACCTCTCACATGTCCCTTCCTCTGTATATCTCTCACCCCTCAAGGCAACATGGTCCAGGCCCCTTCACCTGTCCTTCTCCTCTTCCTGCTGCAACCTCCTTAGATTCTCAATTGTTCCCTAACCCCTAGAGCAAATTTTCCTTCTCCAACCTCATTTCCTCTCCCTAATTAAATCAGCCAAGTCACAGGTCACCTAAGGGGTTTTCTCTACAGCTGTACTCCGGTTTCCCATCAGTATCTCCTACTTTTTTTATCTCACAGTTTTTCTGGTGATGGTGAAAGCATCTGCTAAGCCCACCCAGGGTGAGAGCTTTGTGTCTTCCCACAAGGTATTGGAGCTCTTGGGGTGCCTCTGCCCCCAGGTGAGAGGGCTGAGTGTTCAGAGCAGGTAAGCCTTGCCCTGAACAGTCTACCCTCCTCCTGCTTCACAGGTAGGAGCACACAAAGTGGGACATCTGGGTTTGGATTTAAATCACATGGACATGCAGGATGCTGTCTCAAGACTCCTGCCTCACTTTCAGGTCTCCTAAACAAATTCTTTACAAAAATTCCCATGATGGGTGACAGTGCCAACCCAAACACTATGACTATATTTTTTGCTGTTTAAAAACCAGAGGCTGCCTTGCGAAGCTCCATTTTTATTCCCAACAAACTTTCTTAATAAGAGCAGCATAAAAACACGTAAAGAAAGATGACTTTATTCCTCAGATATAGCTTTATCCCTGCTTATCCTTCCCTTCTTCTCGCATAATCTTCCACACAGATTCCTTATTGCCATAGCAATGCCTCACAGCTAAATATTTCCCCTTCCTCCAAAGCTGATTTTTTACTCTTCACAATTTATCTCCAATGATCCTAAACCATAAGCTCTTCTTTTTATCTTCCTCTATGTCAAAAGATTTCTGGTAACAAAGCCACATTCCCAAGGATATTTTAAGCAACGTATTTCTTCATCCTCCAACTATCTTTAATCAAATTACTGATGCAAATAACTGAGATAAATATGCTGGTTTTTTACTGACAAAATAATCTAGAACACTGTAAATAAGCAAACAAAATCTGCACTACATATGCATGAGAGAGTCTCCAGGATGTCTTAAAAATGTGAAGGCATTTAGAAATTTATCAAGATGATTCAGATACCATATTAACTATGTGTATCCTTTCTATCTCTACAAAAATACACACACATAATGATATGCATTTATAGAAGAGAGTTTTGGAAGGGAAGAGCATGTTCAAGGAATCTATAGAGTCATGTTCAATGATTTTGGAGTAGCTTCACTATGGGACAGATTAGAATCATAAAATTCAGGGGTTGGAA